GCATCACAGAAACTGACACCCAGCTCCCACCCAGCTTCTGGGGTGAGATCCAGGGCTGCTGGCCCTGAGCACCTCCGCAGCTCAGGCTCAGGGTCCGGTGGACAGTCTGTGTCAGGACTCACACTGACGTCTCTCTCAGTGTCTCTTGCACAGTAATCTATGGCTGGGTCCCGGTGGTCACCGTGCTCGTCTCATGGACATCTGGGTCTTGGCTGTGTTCTCAGACACTGTGACTCGACTCCTGAGAGACGGCTGCAGTTGAAGATGTCTCCTGTCCTTCCCAGCAGCTTCCCTGGGGCTGTGGGACCCGGCTCCATCAGTAATGACAGCCAGTACCACCTACATGGTGCAGGCAGGAACAGAGACCACGTGCGATCTTGGCCAGGCCAGGCTGTGACTCCTGCAGCTGCTGGGACAGGACATCTGAGGACCGAGAACCTCAGTGCAGGGGATGGGGGGACAGGGTGTGTTCTGAGTTCGGATGCAGCGTCCTCACAACATCCTGACCGCATCCCGATGTCCTACACCCAGGAACAGCCAGCAAGGAAACAAAGGCCCGCCCGGCATTCCAGGCATCAGGAAGATGACTGTGACTCACAGGAAGTATTTCCAGGGTCTAGCAGAGGCTGAGTGAAAACAAGTGAGTATGAGCCCAGTGTCGCTGGCTCATGCCTGTAAACCCAGGTACTCAGGAGCCTGAGATCTGAGGATGGTGGTTCAAAGCCAGATCTGGCAGGAAAGTCCCTGAGACTCTTATCTCCAACAAACCACCAGAAAACCGGAACTCTCGCTGTGGCTCAAGTAGTAGAGTGCTCCACTTGAGCTGAAGAGCTAAGGGACAGCACCTAGGCCCAGAGTTACAGCCCAGGGTCCTACCAAAAAAAAAAAAAGTGAGCAGCGAGTGTCTGCTCTTCCTCTAGGAAGACGAAGGACAGCGTGGGGAAGGCCAGATGGACTCTGCTCAGGATCTCAGCAGATGGAGAGAAACCAGTGGAATTGGAGAGCAATGTCCTCACCCAGCACAGGAGCCCTTAACACCCTAGACAGCTCTGTGGGGGATGCTGCGTCCTGTGGAGAGGCCAGGCACACAGAGGAGTCAGGGTCTGAGCTCCACAGCTGCTCCTGTGACTGCCATGACCTCAGTGTGAGCCCAGCGCCCCCTGCTGGTGCTGACTGAGCATGACCTCAGTGGGTGCCCAGCGCCCCCTGCTGGTGCTGACTGAGCATGACCTCAGTGTGTGCCCAGCGCCCCCTGCTGGTGCCGAGCGCCTGCAGGGAGGTTTGTGTCTGGCCCACACTGGATTTCCTGCACTGTGTGTAGCACAGGAATAGACGGCCGTGTCCTCCACTCTCAGGCTGTTCATCTGCAGGTAAAGTGTGTTCTTGCTGTTGTCTCTGGAGGTGGTGAAGCGGCCTTTCACAGAGTCTGCGTAGTATATGTAACTACTACCACTACTGATGGATGAGAGCCACTCCAGGCCCTTCCCTGGAGCCTGGCGGACCCAGCTCATGCCATAGCTACTGAAGGTGAATCCGGAGGCTGCACAGGAGAGTCTCAGGGACCCCCCAGGCTGCACCAAGCCTCCCCCAGACTCCACCAGCTGCACCTCACACTGCACACCTGCAAACACAGAGAATCCTGGTCAGCAATGGTCACACATGTCCATGGTTCCGCCCACTTGTGCCTATTTGCACACCCTTGCTGCCCATAAATCACCTTTCAACAGAGCAACAAGTAGAACCCAGCGCAGCCCAAGCTCCATGGTGGTGGTCTGTGCTCAGTCACTGGTGGAATCAGCTCACAGAGCTCAGGTCAGGGATGGGCTGGTTTTCATGGGCAGAGGGATGTCCTATTTGCATGTCTTCTGCTATAAAGCAGCTCTGGGGCAGAAGTCTCAGTAGGGCAGTGCACAGAGGAGATGCAGGTGGAAGGCAGAGTTTGTTAGATGAGTGAATAA